CAAAGTAAAACAGGCTATGCTAATGCTGACAGCACTTTCGGCTGCAGGTAGTCTAATCTGTGGCATATGACCTGAAACTAAACTAGTACAGGTTTTAAAGTATAAAGAAATATATCTACAAATGCTGAATCTAGCAGAGTGAGTGTTATAAAAATACTGTGCAATCTAAGAAATTATCTCTCCTTTGGGCAACTCCAAATAAGATGGTGAAGCATGGAGCTAAAACAGCCTGCACATTTTTAATCAATGTTTTTATGTATGCAATTATATTATCCTGTTATAATTTATTACCTATAAACATTGTTTATTAAAAAGTAGGTTCTGATTCCATATTGGTTGGGTACACATTGAAACGAAAGATGAGAGAACCTGCTATGCAGTGATCTTCACCTTAATATTAGCAGAACACTGGGGAATTTAGGGTATTTCCAACACGTGCATCAATAGCCAGAAAAAGTTCTCACAGCCTTTACAAAGAACATTTTTTCTTCCCATCAGTTCAAGGGGATCAATTTGCACTTAGACTTACTTATCAGAAAAGATTGAAGTGCAACAAGACGTTTGCCATTCCTTTGGAATGAAATGTCACAACTAAAACCCTAGAGGAATGGCATGGAAACAAATGGGGGACCAGTTCCAGAAAGCAGTAGACACAGACATCAGACAGTAGAAGCAAGTTGAAAATGGATGTTTCACTTGGGAACAGTGTGTGTCATTTTGGCCTGCCTGGGGACTACCCTTTCTAAACCCATAGAGACTGAAATGGAACCAAAGCATTGGAAGGAACTCTTGTTAATCTCTTTACTTTTAAATGTTCAATCATGATCTGGCTTGCTATGCCATTTTTTTTTTAATGGTGAATGCCTATTATTATGCTTTCATGATTCTCAGGGTTAGGAACAAAGGAGAAAAACAACAACAACAACAACAACAACAACAACAACAACAACAACAAAGAAAACCACTGTCCACAGTCTCAAAGGGTTCACTATGATAGAAGAAATAAGTGGGCTCTGATAGAAGGATGGGGGGGCTCCATCTTACAGTCACTATTATAATGCGATAGGGGCAGTCAAGAGGAGATGAGGGGAGATCAAGGCAGGGATCCCAGCTTCCCCATTTTCAGCAGTATGATCTTGGTTAAGCAAACTTACAGACTGATGCTTTGGTTTCCTTACCTGGATGGAACTTGTTTAGCAGAAACAGGCCTTAGACAAGTGAGCTATGATGCAAATGCATCCCCCACCATGCAATGGCACATGTGAACACACAGGGAAGAATTCCTGACAGTGAAGGATTAGAAAATGTTGGTGAGCCAATTCTAGAAGAGTGAGTCGTTCTCAACCTGTAGTTCATTACCCCAGGGGTCGAATGACCCTTTCACAGGGGTCAGCTTGGGGTAACATATGTTTACATTTTGATTGATACAGTAGAAAAATTACAGTTATGAACTAGCAATGAACATAATCCTATGGTTGGGGGGCTCACCACAACGGGAGAATTTGTAGTAAAGGGTCACAGCATTAGGGAAGTTGAGAACCACTGCTCTAGATTATCCACAGGAAGTTAGATTTTACCCAGAAAGCTATCCTAATACCTTTATCCTCATTGAAAACTTCATACACGAGAACTATATTAGAAAGGGAAAACTAGTCCTCCACCCCCAGGGATGTTGGTAATTTTGAAAATTTCTAGGTGTACCTCTTTTCCCAGTTGCTGTCATATAATGTTAGCACACATATATTTATTTCTCTCTTGTAATTTAAGTCAGATCCAGCCTCTAGTTATTCACATACTCCCACCCTCTTCAAGCCTTGCTCTTCCCAGTCTCTTTACTTTGCTCCAGGGGTTTCTGCTTAGGAAATTTGATCTCCCCAGATCAACTTCAGTCACTTTTTAAAAGGCAACCTCGACACTGATCATCATGAAGAAAAATTCTTTCTCTTCCAAGCCTCATGCTATATTGACAAGCTTTCCCACCATAAACCTTGGGCACATATGGGACTGTATAGTCATAAGTGAAACTCAATTTCTACTTTGGGAAATGGGCTCCTGCTGTGTAGCTGAGACTGGCTTCATGAATCTATGATCCTCCTGCCTTTGAATTGCAAATGCTGAGATTACAAGCATGTGCCACCACACTTAGGTTCATCAACTCAATCTTTGATTGTGTTTCTTTTCATTTGAGCTATACATCAATCATGCCTTTCTTGGGAGCACTTTAACTTCTAGATACCTTGATTTGCAGAATCAGTGACTCTATAGTATCTTGAATACCAAATGGTACAATGAATGCTCATTGAATGAATATATTATTATAAAGAATATCTCATATTACAACCTCCTTAGTGATCTATCAGCAGCATTATTAGGACGTTCTATAAATCTTTAAACATTAGTTATTTGTTCCTGGCAACTGAGTTGGGAACAAATGAAGATGGAAGTCTATGGGTAGTGTTTACTTAAATATACAGTTCATTTGGACAAGTACAACATTAACAACATTCCTTCATTTGAAATTATTTTAAAGTTGAATTTCAATTATAAAAATATAGATGAAGAGTTAGAAGGATTTCGAACATACAGCAAATCCCTGTATTTGAGAATGAGGGAGACTAGAGAACATCAATTTATTCAATTCCTAAATGTTCTGGGCCTAATGACTTCATTATATTTCATTAAATATTTTCAACATCTCTCCACAAGGGAACTAATCATTACAATGGCTATTTTATAGTCTTACTACTGTGGCTGAGATCTTACATTCCACTGAGGAATTTGGTCTTCAAATTCAGCTATTTCTGACCTTGACATAAAAGTGCTCTGAGAAGTTGAAGAGATTTAATTGCTAGAAAGCAATATTACAAAACAAATTTAGCAAATGGATGACTTTTGGGTGAAAGGTAACTTAAACTTTCTTTGTATTAGTTCTTCATTGTAACATTTTTGTCCTAGATAGTATCTACAGAATTTTTGTGCTCATGTCTTTGTGAAAAAAATGGAATCTGTTCTTTTGTCATTAAGGGATGTTACATAAAGAATTATACTATGGTGGAGGTATAACTAGGAACACAAAAATCATCAAGGTTTTGTTCATATGTTTTTTTGTTGCTTGAGATGGTAACACAGGTATCTTTCAAAATTTTTGTTTATTTTTATGTGTTGGGCGTTTGACCTCCATGTATGTCTATGTATCACATGCATGTCTGGTACCTTGGGAGGCCAGAAGAAGGTATCAGATCCCCGTAGATTAGAAGTACAGATGGTTGTGAGATACCACGTAGTGTTGAGCACAAAACTCATGGCCTCTGGAAAGGCAGCTAGTGCTCCTAACCAGTGCAGAATCTCCCTAGCTCCCAAAGTCATATTTTTGTTTAGGTAAATATAGTAAGTAGAGGGAAAACTAAAGTGCTTTAACGGTAAGCTGACTAAATTTGTAAACCAGACTATATATTCTTTTATATATTAAGTACTGATTGCCAACTTTTATCTGTCAAAAACTGTATCTCCTGTGATCTGGGGCTAGATATTCTTTCTTGAAAAATTTACTCTAATTGTAGGTGCATATTAGAAGGGATTGTCACTGAGTTTGTTCATAATATATTGTTCACAATATTTTGATCATAATATGTTGAATACTATATTTTCACTACCTAAAAATAAAAATAGCTAATGACATAGTGTATGTAATATTTTAAAGACCATATTTTCATTAGTGTGATAGTCTGCTCTTAACTGTTATTTTCTGTTAGAGTAGCTTGACTAAACTCTCTTGCTTTTACTTCTTAATATTTCACAACACAATTTTATAATACATGAAAGAGAAAAGTTCAGAGTAACAGCGACAGTTCCATCAAACAAAGTTGATGTAATCATTGAAGCCTTTTTTTCTTTGCAGCCAAAGAATGTAGTGAAAAAAGTCAGGCCTTCCTTTAGAAACCAGAGTGAGTTTGAACTCACAGCCCAGAATGGACCGAACACACTAAGTCAGCCATACACCAAAAGCCATAATGATGATCAGTTCAAATCTTTCTACAACATGCTGACTTCTGGCACCATTTTACTTTGTAGGGAGAGAAGTTAGCTCAGGTCTAAAAACTGAACATTCATTTTTCAAAAATTAACAAGCACACTTATGACTAGCTATGACTTCTTTTACCTATAACGCTATAAAGACCATGTCACAGAATGTTGATAAAATTAGAACATTTAATATTAAGCTTTCAGCAAGAAAAGACAGTCCAGCACACAAACCATCATGACAACTAACTAGGATACTCTTGATTCAAACCCCCAGAATTCATGTGTGGCTTGTAGGACATTCTAATTAGCATTAGCGACCAGAGAAAAGAGAACTCAAGAAGAAATAAAAATAAACTTCATGTTATTTGTTATGTAAAGTGAGACACAAAGGTGAAAGGAAAATGAATATGTCATTGAGAAGTTAACTTCTCTTTTTGAAGGCCATGATAAGAAAAAAATAAATCAGTTCTCTAGGAAGTCTTGTAAGAAAAACATCTCATGGACAGAGAGCTGAGCCCGAGCCCTGCTCTATAACAAGTAGACCCAATGAAGTTTCTTAAAATAGAGATCACAGCTCTGAGTGCTTTTCTATAGCATGTACAGTTCAACACTGCAAACAAATATGTCAAGGCCATCAGAAAATGGCTCCAAATACAGACCAATAAGCCAGAAAACTCACAGAATATAAAAAAATTAATTTAACAGGTATATCCTCCAAACAATCTCCCTCCAAAAACACATTGTATAAAAACACAGAAGGAACATTTTTAAGGGTTAAAAATGAAAAGATATTAAACATGAGCTGAAGACGATCTGAATAATGTGATTACTATGAGATACTGAGCGATGAACTAACTGGTCTTCTGCCAACCATGGTGCTACTCATGCTGCCTGGAGTTATATTTTGGTATGTGTTCTAGCTTCAATTTTAATGCAGTAAATATTAGAATTCAATAAATATGGAGGGTAAGTCGTACCTTAAATTCCTCCAAGATTTTGTAATTTTTTCCATGATATTCACAAAAGTTTTTCACTTCTTTACATTCTGGACAGCATCCATTGTGTTCCACTTTTGTACATTTCGGATGAATTTTAGGGCATTCTGGCTGGTCACAAACAGGTCCATCTAGAGCACAGACACATGGACAGTTGGAATGCCCCGGGAAAAACCGTTCTCCCAACTTGTATACAAAGCCGCTGTCATCCACACACCCTTTCCCTCGATAGTCATCAAAGATCAGATTGTCATTACTGGAAGCCTGGTCACCTTCATCAGCAGGATAGTCTTCGTGACTGATGGCAGCAGAGGTGACCAATCCAGGGATGACCAATAGAAGTATGCAAGCTTCATGAATATGAAGAGCCATCCCCCTCCTCACAGGCTTCTGGATGTTCTCCTAATATTAAATACACTCAGCTCCTTCCATGGGAATGCAAGAGGGATGGGCTGAAAATAAATATTTAAAAGGTAATTTGACATATAGAAAGAGTAAAGATGCACTTAGCCCATGCTCTTAAATTGTTTGTAAAGGTTCAATTTTGGAAGACCCTGAGACTTCAAATAAACAATGTTCATCCAACTGTCTCTACTATAAAGTTTGAATAGCGGATTTTGATAATGTACATTGTAATAAAGGTAATTTATGGAGTTATTTTACTTAGGCACCTCTAGCTTGTAATTTGCCTGTGAATTCCAGTGGTCTGGCTCTTTGCACATTGTAGGAAGCAATTTTGTTGAAGCTTAAAAAGTGATTTTAAGTACATAGTTCAAGGATATTTTGAACCACATCCATGTTTTTCTTTAAATTGGATGAGTCAGTAATAGAATGTAGATGTTACACTATTCTGGATAAAAACAAGAGGTTAAGGTGAAGCATTAAAAAACCAAGGGAACTAAAAAAATAAAACAGTTGGATGCAGGTTTAAATGAGATGGATAAAGTATAAAGGCTTTCTTTCTCATGCCCATAATCTGGATTTTGGAACACATGGAATATGATAAATAGCATAACAAATCATAGTGAATAAGAGAATATATTTATAAATTAAGTGTTACAAAAATTTAATTTATTGAAATGGACTTGTTAAAAACAAAGTCATGTATACTATTTGTTCACATCTTTAGTTTTATGCTGGAGATAAGCTCCTAGTGGGCAGGAAAGATATAGCTATAAATTTTTATAGCAGCCAAGATCATGTGATGTTGTTTGAAGTTGATTACTTCCATATTATATTAATATCATTCACATTTTATTGAAAATATCACTCATTGGAAATGACCAAGATATTTGCATTTAGGTAATTTCTGCAAAGATGCCAGAAAAAATTCTTTGGAAGTTTCTTAAAATAATAATGAAGCACTGATATTCACAGACTGTATACCTTATTGCCTGGATAGCACAATAACTGTTATACACCCCCAGGGTGTTAGTATTTGGTATTGGTAGTGAGATATCCTTTGGCTAGTTAGAGTAGATAACTTATAATTTCTGTGAATCATGGATGAGGAAAATTATTTTAAAATATTTCATTTATCTATTTAAATGCTGTTGGCTTCATGCCAATATTACTAAGATTGTCTGTAGGACATTTTAAGATATCTAAGTTTCATTCATTGTTTTATCTCTAAACTATATTAAAAACAGTAATAAACTACTTATTTTCAGGCCAGCATATAATTATGATAATTTTAAATATGATGAAGATGATGCTAGGAAACTTTGTAAACTCTTAGAATATTTTTGCATTTTAAGTTAGATATGCAAATTCGAGTAATAGTAAAATGGAAGGCAATGTATTCACATTCTCTCTTCAGAGAAGGTTGATATTAGTATTCCTTCAATATTCTCTGATATTAGAATTCCTTTTGGGTGAATTCCTTTGGGATAATGGATAAAGAAGATGTATTTCTCTTAAACTATGTCAAAAATAATGAGTCATGACAGAACAAGAAAATGCAAACCTATAATTCTACTTGAGAAGCTGGAAGCTCCCTTTGACAAAGCATTTTTTTTCGTCTAAAATGACTACAGAGGCCACAAACATAATAGAAGCTTCTGGAAAAGCACAAATACGTTTTACTAATGAAAGCATACATTTATGCACCTCTCACATCTGTAGAAAGTTTATCTTGCAAGACAAGGAAGCTACCGTGCTTCCTCACAGTATCCAGCAGTGTCTATCAATCCATGCAAGAAAAGCCATGTGAAATACACACAGGATTCTGCTTTAAAATGACCCAGGCAGAAAAACGATCATTTTGTAAGCCACAGGTAGGCATTAATGTGCAAGGTTATGGTAAATGGGAACTTAAAGATAAAAACAGGGGTGGGGTGCCTGCTTCATATTAACATTAAGCATGCTTTTATTGTGAGAAAAACATATCTTTTTAATGAAACAAAGTTCTTAGGCTATTTTAAAAGAACCTTCAGCATAATAAACATGATTTAGTACCATTTAAAATGCTGTTTAAAAAGAGGGAGGCTAGAGAAAGAAAATGACACCATTATCTGAAGATTTTAAATAGGAATGCAACACTGCTAAACTGAGGATCACTTCCCAGCTAAACTTTCCCCCCTCCCTGTATTGCTACAAATGATTTAGAATGACTGCATCTATTTCTCTGAGAAAGCAAATAAAACTCATGTCATAAGATTCACTTACCTAGTCACTCTGAGGTTAATGGTGGTGCTGGGGGTCACAGACCAATCTGAACTTAAAGGTCAGGTATGTCTTAGGAAAGCCGGTCCTCTTTAGTCACCCAAAGGATGCATTTTCAGGCATGAATTAAAGGCAATCCATCCTCTCTACCTCCCATTTCAAAACACAGCCAAGAAGCAGTCTCCCACCCTTCCAGAGAGAAACACAGCAGACACACATAAGAAATATGCTTTGGACCTGTCTTCAGAATTCAAAGCAAGAAGCAATGCTGGTCCTGTGGAAATCCGGACCCCGGTAGCAGAATCATGTTGAACTTATTTTTAGCATTTTCTTAGATCCTTCTATGAAATTTCCTGGCTGCTTACGCCTCCTCCACACATGGGTTCACTTACACAGTGTTTGCTACGGCAGTAGAGGTGACTTGGCTAGGCTCTGAGGATCACAAACAGAAACAGCATACTGAAGCTTAAAGCCCACTCCACCGGCAGAACCATCAGCATCGTCCACAGTATGTTGACTGAATCTCTCCTCAGACACCAGAAGATTCTAACTGTGGACGTGAAGCAAAGGCGCAACTTTAGCTGGGGTTTGGCATCGCTGGGAGCAGTTTGCAGACTGCTGATTCGGAGCTCATCCTGCCGGCAGCCGGGAATTCCTCAGCACCACGGACAGCGCCAACAACTGGCTTCTGAGCCCAGCTTGGTTGAAACCCCCAGCTGCTTCCGCGGACCAGGCTGGAGTGTTGTCTAAGCAGTCACTTGATACAGCGGATGCCAGAATGGGGAGGAGGGGGGCATTCTGCGTGCGAGACACTTATTTGCATTTAAATCGCAATAAAAAATTAGAAAGATGTAATTTCGCCTAATGCATTCTTGGATGGGCTGCAGAGATGAAAGTTCCGGGGACTTGCATTTAGATTTAAGCCATCTGCAGTCCTTCGTTATTACTAATAGATAAAGCACACTCATTGTCAAAGAATCTGTGAAAACGTATGCTTGCCGACTCTATTGACCCTCTGGTTATAGAAGGATTTTCCTTGTGCTAAACATAATTCAACTTTGGGTCTTCTGCAGCTCGGGTTTGATTTTAAAAAAAAAGAAAAAAGTAGCCGCGTTTTCCTGCAGTTTGTTCTCTAACGGTAAAAATCAATGTCTTGTAATTCATCTACTCTGTCATTAGGCGTCATTGTAAAGCTGTTTCTTCCAACCTCCTAGCAAAGATGCCCTGTCTCTAAATTCATAACCAAATGAGAAAGAGAGAGAGAGAATGAGGGGAAAAACCAGACAGATAAATGAGGAAAAAGTTAAATTTTTTATTTGTAACAGTTTGGACCATATAATACTCTCCCAAAGCCTGTTTCAGAACAAACATGCTCTTTATTGTTTGTTTTAACCAGGTACTTGCTGGGTTGGGAGCGGACTATGTGAAACATTTTTAAGCCTCGAGGGAATGCCCTCTGCAGCAGGGTGTGCTCTTGCGGATCAGAACCACAATCGAATGGTGCCGTCAGAACCTCCAGAGTACAGGTTGTTCCCATCGTGGGAAAACACCACAGTGTGCACTTCACTCTCGTGGCCCACCAGTTTGTGAATTTGCCCAGATTTAAGATCCAGCAAATGGATTACCCCGTTGGCGCTCGCCTGAGCTAAAACTCGACCTGCAAAACAGGGAGACAGAGGGAGATAGATTTAGCTCAAGCAGTCTCAGTATGTAAACGATGCAATATTTTATCTTGTTTTGACTGTGATTCAACAGACTCATTTTTATGTTAGACTCTCATTAAGTATGAACTAAGTCCTATCTATAAAAATAATTTGAGCCATAATTAAGATACAGTTAGAATAAAAGCCTGTAACTCTATTTGCTTAACATTCAGAAGTCATTCAATGCCCCCATCATTCTTCTTATATTTGTGATTGGCAGATCATTTTGAAATGAGATTGAGAGTAACTGAAGAGGGCAACTTTATTATCAAGTGAGCATATTAAAATATTTTGAAGCAATAGTTACCTAAATGGGATATAGAACACATGCATTTTATAAATACATATTTAGATATTTATTCTAGAAAATTTAAAATGTATTTACTTGCTTTACATATTTTTATTACAATCCTGCTGAAGTTATGTGTAAAACTATAACAGTAGGGATATTTATAGTTTGATACTTTTTGGAGTTGAAGTGAAAAATTAGTATCTCTACCTCAGACATGATGTTTATTTTAAATTAAATTTCAAAGTTCTTGCAAATTAACATATATCAGGTAACCCAAATATAGCATGGGAAGTCTTTCAAATTTTTATGACATTTTTTAGTGAGTAACAAAGAATTAAGTCAATCTAATTTTAATTAGTAATTTTGTTGATAAATCCCAGTAGGAAACTATCCAGGCCTTTGGAGGCAAGTAAAGTTAATGGAATATGCTCACTTGAGCTTAGGACACAAGTATTAACCATTGGGTTATCTAATCATACTTAGAAGTCATGTTATCATCCCAACAACAGTATTCAAAACCTATTCAACTCTTTCAACATGCTGATACCACACTGAGTACTAGATAGGAATCATTCTGTACAGTTGTTACAAGGACCCAAGCATAGAAGAAATAGCAGGGATTCCATCACACTGATGAAGAAAGAGGCTTGGGAAGACAAAAAATGTTGTTACTCACGTATGGAAGAAGCTAACATTTGAGCACAAACACATCAAAACCACAGCCCAGACTTATAAACATCATGATTCCACATCCAGGCAATACTGTATTACTCATGCATCTAGACAGAATTTTAGTAGGTGATACATCCTGAAAGGGAGTTGTCCATTTCAGAGTAAGGATTCAACAGTGCTGCCACCATGAGAAGCATGGTGAAATATCTGATCACATATCACCCTCAAATAGTCATTGCTGCCTCTGAAACAGAGAGCAATTTTAAGAGGAAAGTAAAGCATGATAAATATGGCCTATTTACAAACCTTTATAACTACTGAGCTTCTTCATCTAGAACAAAACCTGACACAGCAAACACCCTTAGGATGGATTAGAGTGTCCAAAGCAGCAGATGTGAATATTTATTATAAACCCTCTTCTCCTAAAGTCTTTGCTGACAGAGGCATTACACATGGACCTCTTTTCCAGTCTCACTCTAGACGCCACTGCTGCTTGTGACTTCTGTGAAACTCAGAAGATTTTTTCCTTGCAGTTTTTATACAATAGCCATGAAGGAGTACTGGATTTTAAAATCTTTGGACCCATGGAGAACGAAAGCTGAAAGGAGAAGGATTTAGCTTGAAACCACTATTTTTTGTTGTGGTCAAATCTATAAAAATCACATTTAGGAATATTAAGAGGGATTTAGGTAATTTCTGAAAGTTGTACAAAATTCAAATAGTTTTACACAATGATTTAGCAGAGTTATATGCTAATACTTCTTATTCTCCCTTTCTACTTTCACAACATACTAAATGTAGGAAATTATTTAAAAATTCCATATATATGTATGTATAATGACTGTGTCCTATAAATAAAGTTGTAAAACTAGAACACACTGCTGGGGGGTCATTCTCTGACCTCCATCTGTGTGCCATGGTACATATGAAAACTCCACACAAGTCAACAGGTTTTAAGAATATCTATATTATGACCTGGACAATGGAATAATAATATAAGAATATAATATGAAATAATGCCACTAGAATTTATGTGAAACTCGGAGTAACATTACTCCTGTTAAAATTGATTTACTTCTCTAAGATATGAGAAGCATCAACCCCCCACAAATAGCCACAGACAACTAAGGGATCTTGAGAGCGGGGGAGATTATCTTAAGAGCACATTAAGTGGCTATGCAATACCAAATGGTCAGCCCTAAAAACATCACAGAAATAAGATTATACAGCCTGAGCAGATCTTTTTAGAGAATATATATGTATATGCATATACATATATGCATGCAATAACAATGAGTGAAAGGAGAGGCCATGCATTTGAATGAGAGCAAGCAGGAACATATGGGAGGTTCTCGGGCAGGGGAGAAAGGGAAGGGAGAAATGTTGTAATCATAATCTCAAAATTAAAAAAGGGTAAATAAATGTGAAAGGATGAAAACAGATAATGAATTATACTCATTTCTGCTTTTAATTGCATTGTATCTGGAATAAATAGCAAATAAGATCAATCAATTAAATTATGAATGCATGTACTCTAAAAATTGCATATAAAATATAACAAAAAGTATGTAGTCTAGTTTACCAATGTTGATTAAAAAATAAAAAAATATCCAAGGTACATCCACAGTGTTAGGTGTTTTTTTTTTTTAAAAAAAAACTAGGTCTTGAGTTAGCATGCAAAGTAATGGTTTTCATTATGACATTTTCACAGATATGTCATTTTATGTAATTCTTATTATTCTCCCCAATTCCTTGTCCCATTGCCCCACTTTGCTGGCCTATCTGGTCCTTTCCTTCTGCCTAAGGGCTCCTTTTGCTTTCATGTCCCATGAATTCTACCATCATCTCTTCACAGTCCCTCAAGACCTTTCTTCCCATTTCATGTTCCCTTTCTTCTTTCACAACCGAAGAAACACATACAATATATACATATATGCATACAGAAATTTTAAAATAAAGCATTGTATAGTTAAGCACCCATTGAATAAAATACAACATTTCTTTTATCTGTTACATTCAGGATATTAGGCTGCTCAAATTTCTCATCATGTAAGAAAGCATAATTTGGGGAATTTGGAATAGTTGTATTTAATATAAATAACTCAGTGTATATCAACCCTGAGAGATTATGAGTGCCTTTCATTTCTGTGTCACCAAAACCATAATTAACATTTCTTTTATCAATGCGGATAATTCCATTTTGATTTAATGATGACTATGCATTGGTTTTGAATTAAGTTCCTTCCAATCTCTGCTACCAAATGAGATAACTGATTTTCATACACTTGTGTATGTCATGAAAATTTGTTTCAAGTAAATGTATAAATTTCTTTAAAAAAAACAAAACTTGTTTATGTTGTTGTAACAAGCAAATTTTTGGAGAAAAAATTCCACTCATACCCCCTTAAATAAAGCAGTCTCAGTTGGCTTTGTCATAAAAAACCAAATATATGAACATAGTAACTTGGGCATCATTTTCAACAGACTCTATTGCAAAGGTGATAGGAGTAGCCAACCTATAGAGTGACATCATCATGTAGTATAAACTACCAACTATTGAACTATTCATTCATGTCAACAAAACCCACAGATAAAATATTGGCACTTAAAAAACTGTATACAAATATCCCGTGACACTTTTCATATTAGTGAATGCTTTTATTAAGATTCAAGTAGGCTGGAAAAAATACTGGCAATTCTTCAAACTAAAGAATTTATAATGTGCTTTTGATATCTATGCATGTAGAAATAAAGTTTGGTTCCAAGAGCATACCTCTAAGGATGTCAGGAGTTATCTTAAGCTTTTCAATTCTTAAGTCCCTTTCTCACCCTGACAAATCTTCCCCAAAGTCAGTAGCACTCCATGCGGGCTATTACCCTGATATTTTTAACACTCATGAAATGTGATATAATTAGTACTTAAGAATGCTTATCTGAAGATATAGCTTGCTATATTAGTCCAAAAATTTGGAATATTTGTGTGTATTTCTTATAACAAACAAGGGTTCTGTTTTGCACTTATGCCTCTAGAAAATAAGGAACAGAAAGAGTGGAGTCCTACTACACTTTACATCTTGTGTTCTTCACTCAACCCTATGATGCAGATAGCCTTTCCTCAGGACAAATGAGGAATGAGACTCAGGGAAACTCAAGCTAAAAGTCACACACACACACACACGCACGCACGCACGCACGCACGCACGCACGCACGCACGCACGCACGCACGCACGCACGCGCCCGCATGTGCCCGTGCACTCGAAGAAGGAAATGCTGACCACACCCACTTGGGCATGGTCAGAGTGATGGAGCAAGGCTTTAAATATGAGGGACACAGGCATGTGGCTCTCTCTGTTCCCTCTCCCTCCTAGTTGGACAGGACTGGCTCCGTAGCATGAGTACTTCCTAATAAACCACCTGTTTTTCAAACTAGTTCTGACTCCATTGTGGTCCGCATTAATTGAGTTCCACATTACACACACACACACACACACACACACACACACACATTTCTTCATTTACAGGTAACTATTTCTATTTTGACAACACAGAATGCCAAGCATCTTGGTGTGCTTTTTAATATCTCCACAGTTAATTTAAACCCACATTACACACTCAAGTATAGCCTTACCACCTTTGAACTCTTTCTTTTATTAATGTCTCTTGCAGGATATTTTCCTTAGCTGTCTGTACAGTCCCTGGCTATATATTCCTGACAGAAGCTGGGCTATCCATAAATCACAGTTCAAATTATTTTCTTCAATCATTTGGTACACATATCCTTAGAAGCCTCTCCTCCTGGGAATATGTGCATCATTTTATTCATACTTTTCACGTGGCAACAAGACCCCGAAAGATTTGTTCAGCCATGTATATGTTCTAAATTCTTAGCTTTGTATTTACTCAGGGACCAGTGCCATGTGAAATACCTGTGCATTTCCCCAACTTAACAATAAGAGTGTGGTGATCAATACTCTCAGTGGGTGATAATT